GCCGGGGATTTAGCTCAGTAGTTCTGCTGCCTGCCTCACAACCTCAAGGACTGGAGTTCGATCCCTGGTACCAAAAAAAAGAAAAAAAGAAATCTAAAATCTCCTTGGTTTTCATTTATCTACATTTACATTCCATCATTCTTCCCTAAATAAAATTTATTACCTTAAAAACCAATCTGAGCTGGGAATGGTAGTCCTTGCCTGCATTTGGAAGGCTAAGGCAGGAGAATTTCCAATCTGAGGCCAGCCTGGGATACACAGCAAAACCTTGTCTCATAAAACAAAAACAAAAAAACAAAATATCCTTGGCTAGCTAATGATTCTGTAGACAAGTTTTAAAAGTTTTCATTGTCATGATTTCATACATGCAATAAATGGAAATTATAAAAAGCTCAGGAACATTTAGGTAAACTCACAAATGAGGGGAAAAAAATCTAAGGCCCCTTATGTCATATGAGCACTCAGGGCAGAACCCTCCTCTGAGCGTCTGGCTTTCCTCTCCCTTGGGCCTAGGCACTGTGGTCGGTGTGGACGAGAGTACTGCTTTCTCCTGGCCTGTATGTGACCAGTGCAGCAACGGGCGACTGGAACAAAGGCCAGAACACAGGTAAGGCTGGCCCAAAGCTCTGGGGATCTGGCGGGCATGATAGCAACCCACCCCCGGGGTCCCACAGCCCTGTCACCTTTGGGGGCTTCCCCAAGAGCCAGCCCTAGCTGAATTGCAGGAAGAAGCCATGGTGCCGGTGGGTTTTCTAACAAGGAGTTGTGCTGTTTTTGCAACTCCTGGGTTTTTGCCCTCAGCTCCTTTATTATCAGTCAGAGAAAAAAGAAAAACAGGGCATGTGAGTAAGTGAGACACACCTGGTGCCTGCACAGTGTTTCCTTTGCTGTGGTGCAGACTTTTCCAAAGACCAGGGAAAAGCTACTGACCACCTGTCCCTTCCCTGCCCAGCTTTTCTGCCAATGCCCCTTCCCCCCAGGTCACAGTCGGGGCTGGGTGTCCATGCATTTTGTTCCTTTGGAATTAGCTCCCTGACCTCCCAAGTGGACTTTGTCTTGTGACAGACAAAAGAGCATGCTCAGGCCGGGGATTTAGCTCAGT